TAGTGTTGAAGTAGTTTCCATATTACTTCTCATCCAACTCTGTCGAAGGTCTTTTCGAAGTCGACGAAGTTGAGGTGGAGTGAGGTTTGACTGCCGTTCTATACTTTGTTCTGTGATGATGATGCGTAGAGTTGCGATTCGATCAGCACACGATTCGCCTTTTCTGAATCCAGCTTGTTTCGGTTGGCGGAGTTCTGTATCCAGTGCATCCTTTATTCTCTCCAGGATGGTGCGACTAGTTATTTTACTTGGCGTGAGTGGACAAGTGCATGATTCTACGCCAGTTCTTGTAGAGGCCTAACTAGGTCTCCTTTCTTTGACAGCATATCTTCTTTTTATCCTATTTTCTTCAGCCCTCTTTCAGTGGCTCACAACAAGGTGAACCGTTTTGTCAACGTCAGAATTTACACAAATATGTACTGGTTGAAGTTCACATAATTCATGAAGCTCACATGCGTGTAAAGAATAACAGAAATACACTGTGAGTCACAAAAAGCGGAAATGTACCGGATAAAGAATTACACAGAGAATAAATAGAATTCGGTGCATCTAGGAGATCACAAAGAGTGCGTGCATCTGAGCTATTGAGAACGTTTTTGAACCATATCAACAACAGTCTCTAGCTATTTGTTCTCGGTGTCTAAAGGAATTCAGATAGCCTGTATACGTGGTTTGAACCAGCAGTCAAGGACTTCATAGACTGATCCCATGTTCTGATTTGACCACTCCTAACTCTCTCCCAAACTGATCCGATTACATTCAGCTTTGCTCATTGTGGAGGGCAGTGGCTTAGCACACGTAACACGTGTCTCAGCCATCTCAATCAGTACTGCTTCACCGAATGACTTTTCCACCTCATCTAGCACTCTGCAACTAACCTCAGTATTACTCACCATGTTATAGTTCTTAACGCAGAGGATACAACACAAACATCTTTGTTCAAAGACAGGTGCCCTCGTCATATCTTCCACTTTCAACTTCCATGTTTACGATAAAGAGGAGCCAGAGTGGAATTCTGAGCAGTACGCACGTCCTTTGAATGAAAACCGAATATCACACATACAATAGAGATGAAGTAGGCTGGGGAGTGCCACACAAACCTTTTATGTCTAATCTGAGATTTCGTCACCAGCCAATCCATTCGGTTTGATGTATCCTCACAAAAAAGAGGAATGGTCAATAGGTTCAGTCATTTCACTCCTTATCCTTGAACTAGAAGTCCGTGTCGAAGTTATGTAGCAACTTCTTACACATCATATGAGTGAAGCACATGACAGACATACTAAGATTTTTGGTTGTGGTGTCCAAAAAACTGCATTTCGTCACCGTATTCACCCAGGAGGTCCATTTCATCCGCATATTCTAATTAGCCGAAACTTCACCTATGCAATAAGTTGATTTCTCGGTCGCCAAGATCGATTAGAGTCATTCCAGTGTGATCATTGCAGATTCCCACAAATTTTTTCAGTTAACCCCGTCAATAATTTGTCACCAACATTCTTACACACCTCTGGCATCACGTTTCGCTAGTTCACCGCGTTCCAGGTTACAGACTGCTTTTATAACCCCAATTACAATTGTAGGATCGGTCTACATCTCACTGATGGGTGTTTGGTAAATTTAGCATGGATACAGGCCAGCTGAATTGGTCTTCAGAGTGCTTTCTCAAAGTTTTCTTCGTCTATCTGAAGTAGTAATTAGAGTACCACTCATCTTGCAATTCGTTCAGTTTGCGATTGGCTTCTTGCAGCTCGTTTCCCTAGTGAGCCCAAACAGTAGTCTGGTGTTACTTACAACCGATGACTTTTCTGTCTCCTTTGCTTTCGTCGCGCACTACTGTTCACCATCGGAGACTTTTAGTCACACTTTATTCGAGCAGCTTTCACTCCTCGTTATTTTCAGATCCCACCGGTATCACTCTCTTTACATCTATCAGTTCGGATAAAACAAGATAAATCCACTTGCGTTTACTAACCAAAGTTTCTACAAGTGAGAGGATATGATGCCTGGCTTCCTCAGGATTGATACTGCTGTCATGTAAAAGATCGCCTTGTAAGTGCGAACTGCTACATGGACATCATCATAATCATCAAAGCAAATTAAACAGAAAAGTCAAAGTAATTGATAGGATATTCACAGAAATCAAACTGGCACAGGAACTTGGATCTGCACAGACTGTCGCTTCTGGTTCTGTCGATAATGACATTGGTGGATGGAAGTGTACAAATGCAAGTTCATAAAAAGATATTCCATACAAAATAAATCACTCATCATGTTAGCAATAATCAAGGGATCAATATGAAAACTGTGTAACAATACAATTCAAGGAAGCTGAGACCAGTTAAATCACAGGAAATCTGTCTACCCAATGTATTCCAACAGAATGACTAAGCAAGGTATTTCATCATAAGATACAAGATTCAAAAACTGAATTTCCTCATACAGCAACTAAGATAGTTAGGGGAGGGGTGTGAATTATAAACAAAGATACTCTTGTCATCCACTGGAACAATGACAGTTGAGTAGTTTTGAAGAAATATTTTGATTTCTCACTGAAGTGCACTGTGGATTATGCATAGATTATTACTGGATGTGTGGCATGTGTTACTGATAAGATTTTTCAGTAGCATATGAAAAGACGTTCATCGATATGAAAACACCAGATAGCGGAGAGATATTTTTGACGTCAAGGAGAGGGAATGAACCAGCGTTGCGGCCAAACATGGGAGGCACGAAAAGAAGACAAAGAAACACAATACAAACGGTAGTAGTACCGCAACACGGAATATCTGTGCGAATGACGATTTGGAGACAATGTGTGCATAATTTCGCTATATAGAGATACCAAATTCCAAATAAACATTTATTTACCAACTACCTCGTCTTCTACGGTTACAGATGTTCTGCAGATTGAAATTCAATCTCTGACAGGATTGAAATTCTTAAAATATCTCAACAGAAGCTTCAAATATTCTCTATCATACCGAATAACTGTTTTTAAAGTAATCCTATTGTAACTTGATCAAAATACTATACAGTCTTGAATTCTTTCTACTTCAACAGAATGTTGTAGTCACAGCAGACGATGAACAAAAGGAGTTTAAGGATTCTGAAGGCCACAGTATCCTAGAAGTTTTTTAGATTATTTCCTTGAAGTGTATCTGAACACTTAAGAAATTACTTCAACTGTTCTGAATTCATTGGTAAACTATGTCTCCGCGAGCAATCAAAGAAATGAGTTAAAATATACATTTGGAATCTATTAGAAATGCAGTTAATTACATAAAAACTAAAAAAGTAGTGGTGAAATATTGGGCTACTCTGTATCAAGGGAATATTTGTTTAGAGAATGTAAATAAGAGTGCCTATTCAAATGGTCATCAGCGTAAACTAATTCTAGCAACAGAAATCCGATTTTCACTCTTTCTATTATATACTAAAGGTGAAGTTCATAACCCTAAGAAGTACACATGTTATATTGATTAGGTCAGATGATGATCAACTGACTTCACTTAAAGAACCATCAAAAACCAAGGAGTATTGAACAACTGTTTTGTACTAGCTTAGAACTCTAGTAGTACACACTCATGATCCATATGCCAGGGACTGAACCCAAGACCTTCAGGTTGCGAGGCCAGCTATTCGACGCAATTCAACGGTCAGTCTATAAATTCTAACTTCTACCAGTTTACAATATATAACGCAACCGCCAATCATTGTCATTAGTGAAATCAGTGGGATAAACCGAATCTCTGTAAACCAACACTTGGAAATTTAGTATATTCGTTGAAAAATTAGTATATTACTTGTAGAATAGTTAGAATACATTGTTCATTTCTTATCATCTGAACGTGTTAAAAAGTGAATTCAGAAATCATTCTCAGAACTGACTTTCAAGTATTGATTGAATATGCCTATTCAGAGTTTACAAGACTGATTAATGAACAAAGAATATTCTTTTCGGCAAATCCATCATCAGATTACTACGTCTACAAAAATACCACCGAATACTACTACTGCTAATACTACTACTACTACTGTGTATAATAATTTTTTTATTCCTTTACATCCGCAGTGGAACATAGGGCTTCAAGCTAGAGGCTTGAAGTTTCGGTAGCAGTGATGTTTATTTTTACAAGATGAGGTCACTAGCCTCATGCCCAACGTTCCCTCTTTACCTGTTTTTTATTACTGGCATAGCGAGGTTTTGGGGTGCGTCAGCCGGGGATCGAACCTCAGACCACCTGCATAGTTGGCGAGCATTGTACCGCTGTGTCACCAACGCACTGTGTATAATAATGGTGATAATGATAATACTGGTAATAATATAAGTAACACTAATAATACATTCCAGCAGAATAAGCAACTTGAACAAGTATCCCTACAGTCACCACCATTTCATGCTAATCCTACAAATGACACTGGTATTCAGAGTATGAATAATATTAGTAATACTCCGATGCCGAATTTATCGAAAGGAATATTCATTGTTCATTAATCTGCCTTTCAAATATTAGGTTATCGTTACTGCACCTTTTATTAAAATCTATCTATCTTTATTCTATCTTGAAATAACACTAACTCTAATAGATTACGGATAAAGTGTAAAGTTGGAAGCAATCAGCAAGGAAGCATTGGACCCTGGTTTCATGCTTTTCGACAGTAGTCAGCAAGACGTATCCGCGATCCACTTGGAGTAGCGGCCACATTGCATACTTGACTGATAGTATTCATTCTGCACCAAACGAAGAGCTGGACGCTAATTACTACCTATTATCTAATCAAAAGTATTGCTGAAATTAATCATACAGGTTTTATGACTTATTCGTTGAAATTCACGTTATTTGTAGTATTTTCTTGTAAAATAATGAGTATCTATTTATTTAAATATTTAAGCATTGATTAGTTGATTGATTTGTTTGATATATGATAGTAGTGAGAATATATTATCATTCATATGTTTGTTATAATTGTATGCTTTTACAACTTATCTTTCTACACGGGCGTGTTGCTGTTTTTCCCCCCGTTATCTGTGAGGTTGTAAAAGGGAATTAAAAGCAATAACTTAACTACTATTAGAAGACTGATTCATCAGTACACGTTAAAACAACAGTAGACATACCTGTAAAATTAAAGAAGACTTTGATGAGTAGTATGATCAAAAACAATAGTAACAATAATAATAATAGCAGTATTTCTGAAAGAAATCAACAAAATTGTTCAATATTTGATAATATTTTAGAAGTTCACACAAAAGTTCTTGACTTAACCAATACTGACTGTTGGAACGATATACCTAACTGCATAAATAACGGTACGGACGGGATATGTAGGAGTGATTTGACACCGACAAAGATAATAACAACTGATTCGAAAAATGAAATTTTACCATCAAATGGATTACATAATCATCCAAAGAAATACCATCCTCAACAACTTGAGCTAACAACAACTCATAAGGACAATAATAATGGTAATTACAGTAATTCTTATGGTAATCATGACTTAAATCTAAAATTACACCCAAAAGAAGAAGAAAAGGGTCTGGGTGGAAGCGATGCCCATTTCAGAAAATCCAATAGTAATAACGACGGTAGTAACACAGGACGAGAGAAATTATTAGAGTGGTTAAAGTTAAGTCAAGCTAAACGTGATGAAAACAATCGGCAGGTATTTACAAGGTGGATAGACAAAGTAGACAGTTTAAATCAATTGGATTCGCCGCAGACTTTTAACAATAATAATAATGTTATTAATTCAACTATATTTGGAATAAACGCTGGAACCATTGAAAACTCTGATAATTGTATGCAGCCATCATTAATACCAAATTTGATGGCATCTTCCGCCTTTTTTGTTGATAATCGTTTGAATGTAGTTCATACAAATGATTCAATAGTACCGGCCTCAGTTCTACCAAAAATAAATACAGTATATCAGTCAATATGTTCCTCATCTGCGTCATCTTCACCTATCAGTACATACTTGCCAACCATTAAAAATAGCAGAAATAATCCTATGCATAATTTGTCCTTTATACCAATGATTAAACAAAATCTTTTGACACCTTCCACATCTCTTTCAAATATTGCTAATAATTATTGTGATATTCATCAGGGTAGTCAGCCACCACATGATTTAAGCGGAGTTAATTTAATGCTACAATATGACGAAGGATTAAACGCTTGGTATTTAACAGATAACTGTAATAATATGATTTATAACACCGGAGAGAAAATCGTCAACAGCTCAAATGAGACAGTAACAACACCTGTTGCATCTAGCATAAATGAGTCATGTGATTTCACTAATTTGAAGCATAGTAAAAACAGGAATAACGGGCACAGTGATGATGTACCGTTTCCTGCTACCTCTATACAACAACAAATAAATACATCTGAAGCACCTTGTTTTGTTGTCACCTCTACAAATTATAGTATTAACAGTAGTAATGCGAATCAGTTTATTTCTTCACAGTATTATCTACCTGTTCCAGTATATGCAAATGATATTATAGGGTCTAATCGTTTATATTACTATTATAATAATTATCAAAACCAATATCCGCATGTTATTACATTGACAAAAATGCCATCGAATGCTATCACTGCTAATACTACTACTACTGCTACTGTGTATAATAATGGTGATAATGATAATACTGGTAATAATATAAGTAACACTAATAATACATTCCAGCAGAATAAGCAACTTGAACAAGTATCCCTACAGTCACCACCATTTCATGCTAATCCTACAAATGACACTGGTATTCAGAGTATGAATAGTATTAATAGTAATAATAATACTCTGTTATCACCATTCATTTACATAATCCCAACTAATATTAATAATCATAGTAATAGTAATAATAATAATAAATCTGTTGCACATTTACTAACGCATTCATATTCTGTTCATGAGAATTCTGTTAACCTATCAACAGTACAACAATATGCATCAGAATTAGTGAAACTCACACAATGTCAATCGAAAATTGGGATAATTAAAAATGATAATTCCAATGATCTTAATAATTCATCAATAAGTATAACAATGACACCAGATACAACATGCTTGAACGATTTCAAAGGAAAGCAAATACCTTCAGAAGAAGTACAACATTCACACAATATTTCAAATGATATCAATAATACTCACAGTTATAATATTATCACAAGTAATGATAAAAAGAATAATAGTGACAGGAATGTATACATTAATACCGGCAATAGTACGATTGTCGATAATTCTAAGTTTACCACTTATTTGGATTCAAAATAGATAAATAAAGTACACTTAGTTGAATGAAACAGTAGGCATTAATTCTCTTCTGAGTTAAATTCGAGTTAAATCTACTACCTGTTTTTATAATTATTAAAACAATAATTCACGCAGGGAAAAATTTAACAGTCCCATGAGCAACTAATAGAACGAGTAAAAAAATTATACCTTCAATTAAATTATCCTGTGAAAATTCTATTCATCCAGTACATGTTTATTGTACAGTGTAAATGATTTTGAGGGAGAATTTTTTTAACCTCAATAATATTTATTCATATCGTTTTATTGGTCATTGCTATCTACTTTATAATCATAAGTGAATATAGGATTTATCTTACTTCTATCCTCATATTATTATTATTATTATCATCTTCCACTTCGGAATTTCTTCCAAACTCTTTTCAACTGCGGACACTTATAAGATTTAAAATTTATATAATTTATATACACGCTGAGCAAAGGAGTAGCATGGTTTGCATTTCATTCGTGTAAGTCAAGATATTTTTTTCGACATGAACAACTTACAGTTTATTTTTTCTGATCAATTAAATTTTCCATTACCCCTTACTGTTTCCATTATTCTCCCTAATGTTATTACACTTCTACTACTACTGTTATTATTAATATTGGAACTTTTAATAATATCCCTTCAACTCTTTTGCTGATACTTTCAGAAAACATCAATAATGGGTAAATATTATTATTAATATTATTATCCCCTTCACACACACATTGTACACACTCTAAAACCAATCATCTCTTTGAAGGTGAATGAAATGAGTAGTAATATATATATCTGTGTATCTTACGACTGAAATGTATAATGTTATTTTTAAAAACTTATATCAGTGGCGGTACAACAGTAGAATGCCTGCCAATCACTCATGTAGTCTGGGGTTCGATCCCGGATACCAGTGCACTCCTAAACCTCGCTTAGCTGGAAGGAATCCTGGTAAAGAGGGAAGGTTGGTTGTGAAGTTCACAACCCCATCCCGCAGAAATAAACACTACTGCTTGTAAAACTTCAAACGTCAAGCTTGAAGTCCTATGTCCCACTGGGAACTCAAAGGAATAGCAAAAATTCTGGTAGATTATCTAACACCATTGAAAGGATTAGACCTATGACATGGTTGCTCCCCAATTACACTTACAGGAGGTTGAATGTGTGTCCGAATAACACTGTAATACTGTCTCTAACTGCAGCGCTGGGTGACAAGGATTCGAATCTCAGAGAGGACATTAGTCCCTTCAAGACAGAAAATACACCTTGCTGACTAGTATTAATAAGTACGAAAACTAAACCTATGGCTTCTTATAGATTTCCTCCAACCCTTTAGTCTTCAATATACAGAGGTACCTATTCCCTAGCAGCAACGTGTTACCATATCTTCATCAATCAAGCACAGATTTACTATACTCTCATCCATTTTATCAATGAGAATTCATTTTTCAGTGCATTAGAAGTTTTATTAGTGCTAAAGTTTATCGTAGTTATTAATACAATACAATGTAAGTATACCTTACGACATAAAGTAATGAGAAGCCCTTTGACCTCATCGTATGATAAATGGCTACTTTTAGACATCTCAGTTAATCTGCACTAGGCTTAAATATTTTAAGTGCTCTATGGTTATTTTTTTCGTTCCTGTGACCTCAATAGCACCAAAATAGTGATGAACTCAGTCACTACTTTTGCATTGATTATAAATGAATCCAGACACTGAGAAATTTGTATTGGTGTAACAGTAGAAGAGAATGGCTAACGAACTTTTTCAATAAGGAATTTATACATTTTAACCACTTTAAAAATTGCCTAGGTCAGTGGACAATAGACTGTTCTGATTGGTTGAACAAACAAAAAGACGAAAAGTTGTCCAGTGAGATTATTTCCAGATCACAAGGTAAATTAAACCCAGATTTGTGGAATAAACACTTCTACTCCCGAAGCCATTCACTTAAAATGTTGATTTCAAGTTTCGACTGCGTCCTATCAATCTCCATCTATGCAGCACACACCACATTAATAGTAAAGGTCTAAGAATGATCAGTATTTCGACAGATATAATTTTTTACCACAGCACCTGAAAAATAATGTGCTGATTACACAGCTGCTTTCACAAGTAAGGCGTTCAACTTACCATTTAAAATTTTCTATCCAGATGCACACAGTTATTTATTATTACTTAATTTTATTACTCTAAGTTCCCAGTGGAACATAGGGCTTCAAGCTTGAGCTTTGAAGTGTCAATAGCAGTGGTGTAATTTTACAGGATGGGGTTGATAGCCTCATATCCAACTGTCCGTCTTACAACCGTCTAAGGGAGGTAAAGGGTAGATAAATAGACTTACTATTTACATCATAAACTACTAAATGAAAATTGCTTGCTTTATTCAGACCTTTGATATATGATCGTGGAGCTTAGTGTTATCATTAGCAAAGTCCAATGGTCGGCTGAGTTATTTATTTGTAAGCCTGTTTAAATCAGCTTGTTTGGAATCCTATAAAAAATGGAGGTACTGTGACAGTTAAATTCTCCTATATCACATTCTTCACTCTATAGGATATATGGTAAGCTCAATTTTTACGTTAAGATAAGCTAACGTATTTTCAATATCGAAGAAATCTTTGTTGAACAGTAAGACTAAATGAGTCACTATAGTTAGGGAAATAGGCCATAGTGAATTTAATATTGCTTGAAAATAAGACGATTTTGTCAATGCATGATTTGAAAGCTCTTAAAATAGTGGAGTATTCTTAAAGGTATGAGGAAAAAGATTTCATTGTATGCCTCTTTTAGAAGGTGAAAGATGATTACCTGATGGGTGGTAAGAAATTAGTATTAATACTCCGAAAGGGACATAGAATAAAAATAGATTTTTAGCTATACCATTCATTATAGTATAACGAATTGACAGGATTACTATAAATGAAGGATTAAATACGAAAAGTTATTTGATGAAACCTTCCCGCAAAAGGTTCTAGTTGATTTTGACTGTCCGCTAGGGTAGTTTTCCTCGGAGAAATTCGACTTAGTGGACCAGACTACGTAAAATAATTTGTGGGCATTATGGTAGCTGTTTAAAAATTCCTACAGTTACTAATATATGTCTAAAACTTTGGCACTATGGTAATAAGTAATTCCATTTTAGTTTGTTTATTAGATATATCCCACCGTTACTTGTGTTGCGCAGGTATCTGTACTGGCGAATGTACTAGTTCAGATAACAAACTGTCTTAGGATTTCTAGCAAGTGTATCCACAGTTCATCAAAACTTCTGAATAAAGAACAACCACTTATTCGTTTGGAGAGGATTTTCTTTAACCTGAGCCATTGTAACCAAACACATTTTGTTGACAGACGCTATTAAACAAGCCATTGTTCAGAATCTTTCGACAAGTCTGGCAAACGAAGATCTAAATTAGATATCCACAATTTTTTGATGATAGGTGTTTACAAATAACCAGGTAGGTATGAAACTGAAATCACTGAGTAGTCTAAACAGATAGTGGGTAAGGAGCGACTCGATCATCAACAAACTATGTATAGAGATAAATTAGACCCGAAGTGAAACATTTTTGACTATAGGGTGTGAAGATAAACGCTCTAAAAAAATCTTCACAACAGTCGCATTTAACAGTATTTTTTCACTACTCCTTGAGTTTCTACCTTGTTATAAGTATTACTCTACATCCAAGATTTCTTTGTGTTCTGATATTTCACACCATTCTTTGGTAAAATCTAAATTACTTGCTTTACTTCGATTAAGATTCGCCTTTTCAGTTTTTATTTTATTTAATGATACTGGAATGTTGTCGAAAAGGCTTTGTCTTGCTAACTTTGTGATATCGTTTTACCCAACTCAAGATTGCAGAGTGAGGCCAGTCTTTCGTTGTCATTTTTCTGACTCTCAGGCAGAATTTCTGACACATTCTGTTGAGAATATTTCTTCTAATCGTTGCTTATTTAAAAAACTGTATTTAGTCAACCATCTTGCCTTTTAATACATTAGTTTTACATCATAGCAACTGATTCAATTTGTTGTTATTCATTAATGCCCCAACTGTTTTGGCATTAAATTGTGTTCCTTTTGTGTACTTGAGGACCGGTATTTCACTGTGAGAGAATCAAAACAGTTGTCATACGCCATAGAAGAATTGATGATTTGACTGAGCCCTATTTAACCACTTTTTATCACCCTTTGATTTAAAGGGAAAAATGTGTTGGGGATGTTTCGGATACATATATTATGGTAAGGTGCTGCACTAAACGGAAACATCAGTAGAAAAAATGACTTGCTTACACTTTTGCTTTGCGTCGTTTCAGGGGGCGAGATATGGGGTTCAATATCGTACTATAAAAGTCAAGGAAGATTTAGGAAACAGTCTACCTTTCGGTAAATGTCAATGAATCTGTAGAACATCTTGCAAGATGTTGCTGGCAAGCTTCTTTTGAAATCCTTGATTGTATTCGATGTCGCACAGTAAAATCGTGGAGATAGATTGATTAAAAAGCGATGTGAACAATAAACAGCATAGGAATTTAGGATAAGATATACTCTCACTTTTACTCGTGTTATTTGATTTTGTGACGATTTGAACAAATGAAACATCGACTCTTTTGATTTGATGCAAGATCGCAATATCAAGGACCGTTATTTAAAATGATGATAAAATCAGTATGTCACATTTTAAGTGGTTTATCTAAACTCTCCCCAGTAGTGATGGTGGCGTAATTTAACTGGGTTCTTTACAGATGAGTTATCTACTGTTCCCCAGTAATGTTGCAGCAGCAAAGAAATCCATAAAATCAATATAAGGATAAAATTTGGGTATAAAATCGGTAGCCTATAGATTCAACAGAATTTGCCATTGTGTGTATGTTATGGTTGGTAATGTGCCGCAGGAAATAAGGAAGCGAGATATACTTAACACGCTCAAGAATCTGTTAGTCGTAAAGTTAGCATCCATAGTGATAAAACAACGAGAAGAGAAAGAGGACCTTTGACAAGAAAACTTTTACTATCTCAAACGAGTTTCAAAAGGTTTAACAATTTATGATACTTAACGTTGACAATGTCTGGTGACTATCTAAATTGCTATTATTATTCCTTTCTTGCCTTCTGAATGGAACTCTGGGTTTTAGCGGTACATCGTCATTGAGCTGTTTTCTCTGCAGTCACTTTCAGCTGACTTCAAAACTGACCATAATCTTTCGTTTCCTCTTCATATAACCTAATTGCCATCTTAGACTGACAAGTTGTCACTTCTCATTCAGGCTTCATTCAGTTGCATGGCATGTGATGTCTTTTGAAGGTTCTTGGCTTGTTCACTGCAGTGGTCTCTTGTTTCTCATCCTTTTTCACTGGCCATCTGATCTTGAGTGTTGAGAGAAGGCGAGGCTGGATGAAAGATTGCAGGAGGCTGTTAAGAATACTTCCGGTGAAAGGCGCGCTAATTCTGTGGACCACACTGAAGCACCGATTTGCCATTAGTGCTGGAAATTAGGTTTTTGTTCCTTGTTCTGTAGGTCTCCATACTTATTTCAGAGTAGTGAACTCCTCTCTTGCTTTCCCAATCTTGGGCGACTTTGACATCCTAACTCTTGCTGTTTGTAGTTTAAACGATGTTGTCTAGGTAAGTGGAAGTGATGAATTCCTTAAACATTTTACCATTGATGGTGGCTGAAGTTGTTAGATGGTTGTCTGTCTGTCTTTTCTATTTTCAACTGAAGTTATGTTATGTGGGGGGTCTA